ATAAACCTCTGGCTCTGTCTGTTCTAGGAAACAAAATACTTACAGCCCAGGTGTGCGCTGTTTCTCTCCAGATAACTAGTTCCCAAGTGCCTATTTCCGTGTATTAAACCATGCACAGGGTAGGGGAAAAAAGTGAATTGGGGAAAAAAAAATTCTGTTGCACCATTAAAACGAAAGCTACCTTCCTCTCATTAACAACCCTCATTAAGGCACCCTCTGCCCATTTCACTGCTGTGTTATCTCCTTCCCCTGATGGCAGGGATGCTGAATCATGATGAGCCATAAGGACTCAAGTCCAGACCCAAGCTGTCATCTTGATTTAGGTGACAGGTTCCTAGTTTCTGGCTCCACATTTCAGACATAAATGGCACCAGTAGTCAGGCAACATTTGGGGACCGGTGTGTAGCTGTAGGGATTGCAATGTCAGGTATGGACGTTAATAAACACATTAGAGATGGCAACGGTAACTTTCCCTGCCAACAGAAAATGGAAGATTTTGGAATAACTTAGAGAAAAACACAAGAAGCCTACAAAGAATCAGAATCTAAAAATTACATATATATTTGAAATAAATATTGCAGAAGTTTATAGAAAGCAGTTCACAGATATTCCCCTGATAACATTATTTTTCTCTATAATTTACATGGCTTTCTTTTTTTGATGATGCAGGACTGTGTAGCAGAGAGTCTGCAGAGAAAACTTTCTGCTGGAATGAGGTTTTGCGTCACTATATTCAATAATAGAACCTTACATTGCAATAAATATTGAAGTGAGTTTTCAGCATATAGGGAAGTGAGCCTGCATCAAAAACTGTAAGGCATTTCTCTAACGTGAAGATATAACGGAGATTTAACAAGATGTTTCCCTTCTCCCCCTGCACATACTTACCTGGAAATAGTGAAGTATTACGGTTTTTATTACCTTTTTAAGGCTGTTTTTAGTGCTAATTCTATATATATATATATAAAAATCTGCTTTCTAAAGCATTTTGCAACCACTCCCCCCTCTCTGCCTTTTAATACACCAAGGAAACAATAACAACAGCCACTAGAGAATTGTGCTATATAGACTGAGCCACACAATGATCTGGCACTGTCATCTCCCTGGGTCATCACCTTCCTTCTAGTGACTGGCATATCTGATCCAACACAGCTCTGCTCATCTCCTCAATGGCCACTTCCCTCCCTTGGGCCTCCCAAAGGCAAACCCTAGGACTCTGTGCTTTGTCTGACACTTGCGCTCCTCAGGAGTGGCTAAGCATTTTCATGAGGAGAGGACAGAGAGGTGAAAGAAAACGTCAGTCATCACGAGAAATATTGCAGTCCCAGCTGCACTGGTGATGAAGGAAGAGTATCATTTATGTGACTTGTGCATAAATACTTTTATTTTCAGCTTGCAATACTCTGGGGGGAATGAAAGAAACGCAGAAGGGTTTGGACATCTCTGACCATTGTATTCATGAAGTTTACTCTTTGCTCCAGTGACGCAATTTTCCGGTATTTAATAGATTGGAAAAAAAAACAAAAACAAACAAACATGATTTCTCAAAAAAAAAAATCAAACCAAAAAAAACCCCCAACATATAGAAAAGGAACATATGCAATATATTATTGAGTCACTTAGAAAAACATACTTCACACTCTGCATATTAGCAATGCATCTTTACATTTTTAAGTGTTCAAGAAAAAATGCAAGAATTTCTCTTGACTTAAAAATCTTTTTTCTCCTGAACCCAAGGTTTATAGTATCCACCGTACCCTCTGGTAGCCAAACTAGACGAAGAAGCATTCCCATAACCACAGGGAGCAATGGCAGAGCTTTTCTGAGGGGAATATTTCAGTCAAAAAGAGAGCAGAGGAGAAATGTAGAGAAGAGATCTCTTCCCACATCCTGTCCTTTTGCATACCAGTAGACAAAAGAGACAAAAAAATGCTCTGAGCAACTGGATGCTGCCACCAAAATGACATCTACAAAATTTGTCTCCCTCTTCTGTGACTATGCAGTTGTTCTGCCAAAAGGAGATCCTGTAAACCAGTGATGGACAGGAAAGAATTTGCCACTTAAAACCCCTGTTAGACCTTTCAAATGTTAATGTTATCCATGAGAAAAGACCAGAAACATCTCTGCACACACGAGAAAATTTAATTCTTCCATGGTACAGCAACCAGCTCTATGAGCACCAATCTGCAACGACAATGACACTTGTTCTGCCACATAATTGTATTCACTGTCTGTTAGAAGCTCTGACCATACTCCAAAATACATATGCTATGAAATACCTTTATTTTTTAATCAACATTATCAAAATTAGGAAGTAACAGCTAAGGAAAGAGAAGGAAACACGTTACATTTGTTGCATATGTTTCTCCATGTTGTTACTTGTCTGTGTTATTTTGAGCATTATCTATTTAAAGAAATTGTATGATATGTACAAGACAGCAGGTAAAGTGATTGACTGAAAGAGTCAGATGTTAAATTGCCATATTGCCGTGGAAAGGATAAAAATATTTCTCTACCTCAATTCATTCCATAGGAAAAATCCTCTTGGATCTTACATCCTGTATCATTTTTACACTTAAAGGTTTCAAACTGAAAAAAAAGGTATAAAGGGTAGTGTTTAAAAATAAAAGCACACATTTTCACAGCTTCGTTTTCTTTTTCTTTTTTTAAGAAGAGTATAATATTGAAGGAGAAAAAGCCTGCTTGCTCTCAGTTAGGTTTACTAAATCAGTCATGAAGGCAGCTGATCTAAAATGCATCAGCTGTCACCTGCTCAGTCTCAGTTTGACACTTCAATACCTCCTCATCTTCTGAGAATGGCAGTGCTGAGACCTGAGTAAATGGTGTCTGTATGCAAACTGTCACAGAGTTTTTGGCATATCATTAGGCCTGACCTCCATGGCTGCAGTGACAACAGGGAACATTACAGCCAATTGTCATCAGAGTTAAAATTAATGTACGGGTCTCCAAATTCAGCAATGGGTGAGGTAAGCCCCACAAGTGGTGGCCAATTGATGAACTACCTAATTACAGTGTAATAATCTTAGTCCTTTGGAGAATGCAAACGTATGTCACAAATTCAAGGCACGTCTCTCTACACATCTATAGGTATCTTTTTTCCCCCTCAGCATTTATCTGGACCAAATATGACATATAAATGTCAGTATTTCCTAGTTATCAGCTTCAGCAACATTATTCAGGGCCATGAAAGGACAATCTAAGACACATTCCCAAGCAGTGACAGTCAGGGTCACACTCACAGTGGTTAGAAAAGTTGTACCTGATCATTTCAGTAGCCCAGGCACACAGACCAACACGGCATCTCTTCTCACTTTGAGATGCTGCTTTCTGCCCTGCCGCAGCTGGCGGCAGGAGCCTGCATGACTGTAGCTTGATGCTTCCAGCAGCAAAGGACCCCCATGAGGGCTGAGGGCAGCCAGCAATGTACCCCTAGGTGCCTAGGCCTAACTTGGCTAGATAGGTTTCTTCAGAGCTGTTCAACTCCTACAAAAACATGTTCTGAATAAACATAAGATGGGCTTTAAAAGATCAAAATTCATATTCAGACCCCCTCTCAATTTTTATGGTATTACTTACAACATTAACCATGTTTGTGAGCTCTAGCAAAGCTTGACTGGTTTGCATTACCCCGTGAATCTCACCTGCCCTTTGTATGACTTTATTCAGATTGCAACCTCTTGATTTGTTTTAAATTCCCAAGTCTAAAAGTGCTAAAGACCCTGATTCTCCACTACTGTTGAAGTGTCTATAATCTTTCACCAACCTACCAATATTCTCTTCAGGTGTCAGATATAAATAACTTGACTGAACGCACTAATTTTAGAGTTTCTTTGGCTAAAGCAATCATGAAAAGCAACATGACATCAAAACCCAATCAACCAGAAAAGCTACTAGACATATTTCCATCCTGGAAGAACCTGGACTGAGGGACAGTGTCTGTATTGACATCTCCCAAATACTCAAGAGCCACCAACGAGGTGTGGGATATTCAACAGGAGGACCATTACACTTATCTTTAGGCCCTAGTATTGACCCCTTTATCCAGTTATCTTTTTGCCATGATCATAAAACCAATATGACAGTGTAAAGAGTTATACAACCTTTGCCATTCTTTTGCCTTTGTCTCCAGCCATCCATGGCATTGGCACTGCCTGGTCCAAGAGCAGTTTGATCTCTTATCTTAACAAATATTGCTGGTGCTTATCTGACACTCTGCCTTGAGGTTTTCACAAAAGAAGTGTGCACCTCATGAAATTATGCTAGAGAGCATATAACTTCAAATAAAACACTGCATATTTCTAGACTAAATTTGCAAGGAGCTTTCATTGTCTTTATCAGGAGGGAAAGCTACATTTACATAACAGTTTTTCTTTACACTGCATCACTGGGTACATGACTGGTAAAAATAAAATTTTGCTGTGAAAATACTGCAGTTCTTCTTCCAGCCTACATGGAGGGACTTGTAGAAGTAGTCATGTCAGAGTTCACTACAAGCTTCAAATTAAGCAAGTTTTGCTTACCTTAGGTTTCCTTTCCACTGTGGAGGTATTTTGCTATAAAAGTGACAAATTCATATTTAGCCTTTTTATTCCTATAGCCTTTTGAAGAAGACATTTTGAGCATGATTCAAACTGATTGGTTGTATGAGTTAATAAGAGTCACAGGTAACAAAACCTCCTTATATCACCCATGAGGAAAAGAATAGTAATAAAGGTTGGATTTTATGAAATCACTTCTTTTACATAAGCAGTTTCAAGGTACTTACATCCATTTCAGTGTAAGAACCATGCTGCAGAGACCTGACAGAACTGCAAAAAGTGCTGTACTCTCACGTCCACAGAGCTCTCCCCAGAAGATAACACCTTGCAGATCATCTGAGAAAAGTTCTCCCTTACTAATATTTTTTTTATATTTTATGTCCATTAGTCATGTGGCTTGTATATAAACAGACCTTAAAGGTCTCTTTTTAGAAGGCAAACCTCAGCTAAGCAATCATTTAGCTAAAAATCTTACACATTTCTTAACAGTGATTCAGGTCTGACTCCTGTTGGCTTAATCAGGTCTATGAAAACGTAATTGGGGAAAAAAAAATATCAACAGGGCTAAATAAAGATGTATTAAAAAACCCAAGCCTTATCTGCAAGAAATGAACATACGTTCTACAGCAGTTTATGACCTAAAGTTATAGCAAGGACAAAGTGTAAATGGTCATGAGCATTACCTGAACATTTGAATGCCATGATGGAATTCAATCCCATTTGCCAAAAATCACTACTATCTCATGGATAAATAAATAAAGCAACCTGTCGCTCCACCTATAAAAGCTTCCTCAATTTTTGTTTTCATGTAGTAAATTGCAATATGAAATACATTTCTTCTAAGCTTAGAAGTTCTGTAGTGGATAGAACTTGATCAAAACCAACTCCTACTCATTAGGATGTCCCCACATAATTCATTTGTAGTCCCACTCCATACTGCCATTTATGAATTATGAGGTCATTCCTAACTGAAAAAATATTTCATCTCATGTCATCTCACTGTCATATTCCTCTACACTAGACTTCTCCACCGGTCAATCAATAGTAAAAGCAGACACAAAGTCCAGCAGTTCAGCAGATATTTGAGCTTTTCTAAATCTCTGATTCCCTTATGAGTTTGGTCATTTTCCATTGAAGACAACATAGGTAATAGCCCTGCAACCAAACCACTTGTGTAGTTGGCAGTGTAAAAATATCACACTTCCAGTAGAGGGCACTTTAAGCCCCTTCAGAAGTTATTTAGAAAAACAGAAAAACAGCTTCTCACCCCACCCCCACTCCATTTCATATTTCGTTTTTACTGAATTTCCAACCACATTTCCCCAGGCTTGATACTTTCTTATTGACACACCACCACATAGAAGGCTATAGATGTTGGGTAGCAAACAATCAAAGAAACAGAGACTCAAGAGAGTAGAAATTTTTTTTTAAAGGAAAAGGAATCTTGACATGCATATGTATTAAAAGAGTTGAGTTAAGGTAATGAAGGTTATTCTTTTAACTTTGGTTTGATTTGCAGTGAAGTAGGTTGTGAAAATTCAAACTGGTTAGAAGCGTGTATTGGTAACTGTCTGTATTTTGGAAATGTTTTTATCCCATTCCTAAGAGAAATAACTGCCAAGGTGAACGCTCTCTGAGCGCTACAATATCCATTTCTGGTTGAGTTACAGCCCTTTGGCTGTTAGCTGTTTTCAATTTATGTAACCATACACTGATATGTCTTCTCTCTTTGTTTTTTTCCCCAAACAAGAAAAAGGTTTTCTTAGTACTATAGTAAGATGATGGATCCTACAAAGTATTAAACCTACATATAATAATGACCACAAAAAGAGCCAAACATGCACAACTTAACAGCTTACAATTTTCTCTGTTCTCTGGTAAAGTATCCTTCTCAACTTTTGGGAGGGGGAAAAGGAGAGAACCTCTGAAAAACTACCATAAATCTTATTTAACATCAGCATGAGGAGACTCAGACATATTTTACATTAATGCCACAAGCAGTTATTAAGAGATTAATGATTTCTTAATAGCTGGTGTACTGAAAAGCAAAGCAGTGGACTGTTTAACAGATCGCTTACAGGCACAGTAAGTCTAAATGATTTTAACACTTTTTACTGGCGTTAATGAGTGCTATTTACCACACAATACTCCTGTATGGCTGTAATGTATATACATCTGTTAATCATTTATAATCCTTTTATCAAGCAATATCTATTAATAACGATTTAGAGTTCTTACAGAATTTAAACTCATCTCAGACTCCACTGAAGTTTTCTTGGTTTACTCCACATTTTATCTGCTCTTCTGGTTCCTACTACTGTTTACTTTGCTAGGTCTCTCTGTGTTTATTCAGTCTCCTTCAAATGAACAAATACTTTTGTAACATTAAAATGTTACCATTTTCCTATCTCCTTCTTAAAGATCATTGGAAACAACAGACCTAGCACACGACTTCACCTTTTCCTTTCTGTAACAGGTACAACAATTACAAATGCAACCACTGTATACAGAGAGAGGATATCGTATAAGTTTCACCATTAAAATAAAGAGAAAAATTCACAGCCATTGACTCTTACCAGGCCTAAAGTACAGTCCTTTCTCATCACTGTGCTGTTTTGGATAACTTGTGATGACTGATCACTGCATAGATAGTTTTTATTATTGTGAATATTTACCAGAGCTAAGAAGTTTAGGTCACTGAAGGAAGACTATTCTAAGTATGTCACAACTTCACTTAATTTTCAGACACAAACAACTTTGAAAAGTATCACACACCTATAGAATGAAAAGATAATTACAGGGTAGTGAAATGAAGTTAAATGCAGTAACTTAACGGTATGCATTGAGGAATTATTGTTCTTATGCTTCATCTGATTACAAAATTACCACTTGAGGCAGCTGTACAAATGTGACTTATATCACCTCCATGGTGCTCAGACACACAGAAATCCAAAAAGTGTTCAGCTCAGTTTCTGATGTATGCCAGTTTCTACTGCAAAGCCTGTGTAATATTTTCAGTGCTGCAAGATCTTCAGCAGAAGGAATCCCGTACTATATAAAATAGGTGTACATATAGAGCTATCAATACTTTGCATTTACAGTGCAATGGATGTGGTTTTCTTTGTTACATCCAGCACTTTCTGAAGTCAGGATGTCACATCTCCCAGTTCTTCACACCAGTTCTTTCTGAAGGGCTGGCTGATGGAGCCGCTATGGCAAAACCCTGGCTCACGTACTGCCCCAGACCCTCAGAGCCCAGCTGCAGCTTTGCTTGTCAGGAGTGTGAACACCATACAACATTCCCATCTTTCTTTTTTTCCATATTTCAAACCAGACTTAACAAGCTACAGAATTCTACTGATGCTAATTACACCTCCTTTTTCATATCAATACCTTATTTCATTCCTGTCTTGTTTTTCCTGGGATTCATTAAGTAGCCAGCCATCCACTAAACACTCTTTTCATTTTGCAGACACTTTAGTGAATTTATTCTACTTCAATTCAAAGATTCCACTCAAAGTTCTAGGAATAATTGCTAAATTAATTGTAGCACATGTGTTTATGTACTTAAAAAGACAGTTTAAAAATACAGATTAGAAAATATGTTTGGAAGATAGCTTTCAGTTTTGTAGGAGTATTTGATACTGGAAAATATTTTAAATTAGATTTTTGTAAGGAAAAAAAAAAAAGAGAATAAACTACACAATAGCAACATAAAATTCCACAATAGCCTGACAGGGTTTTTTAAAGCAATGCTTCTTTCATCGAGAATGCTACAGGGACATTTTTGACCCCATTGTGAATATCACTGCATGCCCTCAGCTGAACGCAAACGTTTATATTGTTACTACTGCCAATAACAAAATTTCACTGTAGAACTGTTAACAAATGGATCTATTTCATTATAATGATGTGCTGTCATTTTCTGTTTTGTTTTAGATTTTTCATAAGAGAAGTAGCAGGAAGCCTGTCTGCAGTTCGTTCTTTACAGATTTTCTCAATGAATCTAGATTTCAGCCTTCACAAAACAATTGTTTTGAATACCAATTGCCTTGGTATTCAAATAATTTTTGAACAATTGCATATGTTACTTACAGACATGTATCCAATTGTAAACTTTTGATCTGAATTAGATTTTGAAAACAGCTTATTAAATAATTAATAACTACTAACAAATCAAAAGATGCTCAAAGAACTTTGTGATGGAAAATATTATAAGCCTTTCACCAAACAGAAAAGCACGTGGTGCTTGGAGCCAAGGCTCAGCTTACTGTATGGGAGTGGACACAGCTCTAGCTGAGACCCTACCAGCAATGAGTGGAAAAGAGCAAGTGCTTTCATGTTTCTTACCATCTATGTTTCCATTGATACATAGCAGGAGGCGACTGGTTTTTTTTCACAAGAACATGACACCACTGAAGCTCACCAAGAAAACAGGAAACCCAAAGGGATCCACTGCCAACCTGTGTGCTCCAAGCCCACGAGGAACAGCAATACAGCACAACTTCGATTTAAAGAGCTACTACAGTATCAGAAGTCTTTAATGCTACCATTAATTGAAAAAATTGCAATGCTGGGATGAGTTGCATCTCTGTCCAGGTCCATCTCCTCCCAAATTTCATGTAATAAATGAAGACTATGCCTCCAGTGGTTTTGTTCATCCATCACCACATCAATGATTATTACAGCCTTACAAAGCAAACAACAGAAAAGCTTAATTTCAAGGAATATTTATGGCAAGTGAAACACATTCAAACTTGACTAGATGAGGAACCAAATAAATCCGATGTTTGCTCATACAGAAGTTTTTTTAAAAAATACAGGTTTAAATTATCAGTGCTGAAGTAAAGGAGTATAATTGCCAGCACAGGAAGGAATAAACACTGGTTAATAAAATCAGAATCAGATACATTACCTAGATAAAAAGACTATCATGCAGACTATCCAACTGTCATTATAGGTTAGTTCACTATAGCGTGACCTTCAGTACTGCCCAAGCTAATTATACATGCCTGCAGTGTCTTAAATATTCTGCAATTTAAAAGCAATAAGCTTAAAATAACCTGCAGTTTAAGAACAGTGGGCTGGAGGGAAAAAAAAAAAAAAATCAACCAAACAAACAAATAAAAAACCCCACCACATCACTGTAAAAAATCTGAAGGCTAATGCTTAATCAGGCAGGGTCACTGTCCCTTAAAGACAGGAAAACTGCAACAACTAAAGTATTTTTTTTCTTTGTCTGAGGTTTCTGATTTTTCTTTTCCTGCTTTGATACTTAACTAAAATGAACTATTTTATATAATACCAGCATGATGATGAAAGGGCGCCAAATATATAGAAAAGCCTGAAACAAGTATCCATGCTCTTACAGTGCTGAGGGCATCCACCCCGCAGCCACAGTTCAGCCTCTCTGTGTGTTTTAGCCCACTCTCATATGAATCTTGGTCATTCCTGCAGCCTCTCTGTGTTCCAGCAAGGACACAGACAAGGCTATGCGAGTGTTGATCTTTTTTTTTAATTTTTTTTTTCTAAAGTGGTTTTTTTGTAATTCTTCTAAAAGAAATATACTCTCCCACAAGCAAGTAGCATGACAGGACCAGGGAGAGGTCCCAGGTACACAGGACAACCACAGCACCACTGAGAGCTTCGCAATGGAGGGTGCACACCTGGCATGGACCAACTGTGCGATTAGATCCAGCTCTCAGTCAGTATGTTAGCTGCCAAGCAAATATATGCTATTAGTAGCATAATGCAATGACAATACAGACCAAGTTGTACCAGAATTAATAAATACATGTTAGCAGCCATGAAAACAAGATTTCCCAAACTATGAATTGTAGTAATAGTGGTCACATCTGTACTTCCTATAACACAAAATGTATTTAAAGTGGCCTGAGATTTAATGTTTGCTACAAAGAGATCCAACTTTGTAAAACCTAGCTCAGCTGTCTGCTTTGCCTTTCTTTCTCAAAGTGAAGTCAAAGGGATAGCAGAGCAAGACAAGCTATCTTCTACATAGTAAAAAGACACTTCTGAAAGTGAGAGCATACACTTTTTGTCACTGACATGACTGCAATTGCCTGAAGGTCGAGAAAAGACCACAAATTATTCCTCCCAGGTCCTATCTCCACCGAATGCAGGAAAGGTAAAGGTGCTATTTGAAGAACTAAGCCCCTAACTGAGAGTCATTAATCCTTATTTAAATTGTGACAAGTATACAGGTTGTAAAACAGGCAAAAAAGCTTTAGGAAACCACACCAAAAAAAAAAAAAATTAAAAAAATCAACCACTGCACAGGCTGTCCAAGTGCAGCAACCCATACACTGCGCATTCATCTGTGTTAGAATTCATCTGCAGCCTCACTTTAATTTAATAATTTGTCAATTATTTGCCATAACTGAACAATGTCTCAGTCAGGATCCTGAATCTCTTACAGAATAAGCAATGTCAAAAATCCCTTTTCACAGGCACAAAGCTAACATTCCATCGTCTCTGCAATCAGTTAACCTGTGTAGTTTACCATTCCATTGTAGGGGGTCTTAAATCTAACTGCAAATGCCCTTGAGCAGGAAACCTCCTTGGGCTGAGAAACAAAGAACAAGACTTTAGCCCAACAGGGTTTTCTTTGTAAGCTCTCTGTGTCATACATTTTGCAAGTTCTCTATACCATAAAATTAAATGCAGAAAAGATGAGTGGGAGAAGCGTGTAAGAGAGCTGGAGACCTACGTTACTTATTTTTCTTCTGTACGATTCAGACCCTGACTTGCATCAGGCACACAGTGCAATGGAGAAACACAGAAAAAGCTGGGGGCTGTAAGAGGTCCTGCATGGCTTCAGCAGGACTGACATTACATGGCTCTAAATACAAAGAATTGTAAACCAACATATACAAACTGTAGAAAACACTCTTCTCTATTTTCCTCTATTGTGTGGACATGTAAAAGCCAGCCTGGATCTTGCTCTGTTTTGAAAATTCATTACTGCTCATGGGATATTAGAGGATTTGCTTTAACTCTACATACATCTTTCCTACCTGCAGTGAGGCTGAAGAGGTATAAAAGATGCTCCATCTAGAATGCTGTCATTTTGAAAAAAAAATTATTCAAATTTTTCAGGACTGAATTATCTGCATTTATTTAATAGACTGTCAGAGAGCTTTGAAGGGTGATGATCCATGAACTAAAACTTTAAGACCTTAATGTATTATATGATAATGAATCCAAAGGTACAATAATGGACCATTGAGCAGATAATTAAACATTCATAATGGGAAGTAATGGGGATTATGGTCTATGTTATGGACTATTATGCCTATTCTGAAATTTATATAACAGATTTTAACAGAGAATACAACAGGTCCCATGCTACCTTCAGCTTCCACAAGGAAGCAAGACAACACAGTGGACGCATGTGACAGCATCGCCACCCTCACAGCAGTCCTCCTTTTTCCAGCACCCAAAACAGCCCTTTCAGAGATCATAAACATGAGCAGATATGAACAAAAGGCAGCAGTACCCGAGATCATTACTCCTAAATCTTCCCATGATTAACTAAATGATGATGCATCATGTAACATGCTTCACTCAAATATGACCCTACTTTGAGAAAACACCCTGGGAATCATAAGATTCACAAGTTTCAACAAAAGACAACAGTACTTGTGACTTCTGTACTTGGCAACACCACAGGTAAATTTGCAGAGTCTCCATTTCAGGAGGTCGCAATGTTTAATAAAGCTAGCCTTGCCTTTCCCTCCATAATATAGTAGTAAAGCAATGTAATGTTTCAAACACATTAAATAATACTCCACCCTCACTGGAGGACTGACCTCAATGTTTAAATTTCAAGATTCATTTAAGCCCCACTATTTCATTCCAAAAAGGGGAAAAGTAGGCAAGCATAAGAAAATTTAGACAATTCGTATTAATTAATCTGTCATTCATTGAAACTGCCTTCTTTTATTTGGTTAGTTTGCTTTCTATGAACTCAAGAAAACAATAGGAAATTAATAGAAAAGATCAAACATACAGCAACACACGTTTTTTTTCAACTTTAGAAAACCAGCCACAGGAAAAACATAGTAGAGCAAAAAAAAGGTCTTATTCATTAAAAATACCCATACTAAACAAGGTTAGCTGATAGGACAATCTCAAACAAGTAAATGATATGAGAGAGTTGCTGCATGTGTTCTATTCACATAATATATTCATTAGTAAGAAGGTAAAGACAGCCCAATTTTAAAACCTGAATTATTTTGCATTTCTGTTTGTGAGGGGAGGATCAACAGCAGTTTTCTACCATCTTAGAATTAATCACACTGCTATATAAATCCTCTATATTTTAAGAACTCTGAAAGTGTGATTTCAGAAAAGTTAAATAATGTATGAAATTGAAAAATGTCATTCTTTTAATATCTTTCTCCTTGTGGAAAAAAAAATTTCAATTACAACTATAAAAAACAATTGTAACCTTCTTTTAAAGCATTATAGAAGTTGTCATTGTTTAGTTAACCAATTCAGATTCAGCAAACGTGACCTACCATATCCTGAGGGACAGACCTATTGTAGCAGTAAGCAATACATCTCTACACACTTGTAATTCAAAGGCACTGAGGCAAAAACTGTCAAAACATTACTAAAGTCGACAAGGATGTATGGTTCATTAGTCTAGGAACTGATGTGTTATGGACCTGTTTGCAAGCAGCCTGATAATTTAAATCAAGTTGCAAGTTTATGTAAACCTACTAGAACTCTATTACTAAATTTCAGAGTGTACCTTCAAAGGCACTCATAATTGTAGACATTTATCACAAAGCCATAACTAACCCCCTATCATGCCAACTTAATCAATAATCAATTTATAAAATATCTTTTCTTTAACTGAAAATCTCTAGCCGTTTCCCTTGTGTTGACTTCGAGGGCCAACTGCAGCGTAACATCAGTTAGCCAGTCTTCGTTCATTAACACAGAATTAGACTGTAAATGATTCAGTATTTACAAGTGGTTACAGGTGCAGAAAAGAGTGATGTGCAGCTGCAAATCTAGCTGATCCCTTCCCCATGCTGCCGTAAGCCTGTCCAAGCATGTCTGATGCTTGCAGCAGCAC